GGCTACTTTCTTAAAAAGGACCCCAAAATTTTTCCCCCTCTCATTCACTCCCCGACCTCCAAAAGAGCCCCAGACGCTTTTCCCTTTTGGGGCCTGATTTCAAATTTAAAAAGTACCAGTTTTTCCCTGGATGAAATCCTAACTTGGGTTTATATCTCCTCGGACCCCAGGCAGTAAATCAGCGTCTAGAAAAGAAACCAAACCACAAAATGCCCACTACCAATTTCCTTACCAAAACCCATCACTTTGGCAAAAAACAATTTTGGGGCCAAAGTTTTGGCATCTTTTTTTACAGGCGCCATTTTGCCCATAAAAGAGTGCCTTCTTCGGGAGGGTTTTGGGGTTCCCAAAAATAAAAGACATTTTTCCCAAGCCCCAGGACCCATCTTGGTCCGTGTTCCCCTTTTCAGGAAACTGTTGGGTCCAAAAATTAACCTCTTTATGGGACAGGGGTCTGCAATAACCTTTTTTTTGAAGTGAACATTCTCAAAAAGGCCCAGCTTTTTCCCAGTTCATGAAATGAAAAGTGAGGACTACACCTGAAATTAAAAACAGATAAGTAGTGAACACTAGGGGATCCCCGGTTTCTATATTTACAGGTCCTTTCCCAAAAATCACCATGTTTGATGTCAGGCTGCCTTTAAGAGATTCCTCAAGTCCGTCAAAAATTTTCGGTTTAAATCTTGAAATTTATTCCAAAGTTTTTGAATATTTCTTTTGAGTCTTTTCATTTTGATTTTTGAATTTTTTTAAATGTGTTTCCGGTTTTCACTATTGACTTGGTGTCAATTTTTTCATTTTTTTTCTTAAGGTCTAAAGTACATGATGTTAAATTAAAAATTTTCCCTCTGTGTTAACATGGCTGTGATAGTACACACTTTGGGGGTATTTTTCTTTTAGTAGTGGGGGCGTCCCCCCAAGTTTAGCCTGGATTTTTAGATATTCTATAATGCCATAATTTTTAGTTGCCCCCACTCCTGAAATAGGGTTTGGGGGTTTTATTGGGCGGGGATTCCCTTTTGACCCAAAACGAGCCGACGCCCTCAACATTATTCTATTTCAGATTTCTGTTGGGTTTTTTAAAAGGGGGAAAATTTTTAAACGTTTCACCGACACGAGCGATATTTGCACACCATCACTGCAGATTTTCGGGTTTTTTCCCCCTTTCTTTGTTTTTTCAACTCTATTTGGGGGGGTGGATTTTTCTGTTTGATGCCCGGGAACTGACTCACGCAACATATCCCCCTGTTCATCAATAGTCTGTATATTTCCATTGCAGTATACCCTTTGAAAAGGACATTGTACTGTTCCTTAATTTCTTTATCCGTTCTAAGAATTCCTAAATTTAACTTTATGTTCTGTGGTGTTTTTCTAATGTTCTTTAGTTTTATTCTAATTTTTCCTCCAACTGGAACACCCGGGCCTGGTCTAGTTTTGTTTTAAAATAAGCTGCTCCGGAACTTCTTGAATCAAAATAAAACAATCCCAATTGCGGATATTACCCAGGATTTTCAAGTCCACAATCTTCTAACATACAATACAATAAGAGCATCCCCCCCCCCCCCCATTTTTTTAAAAAAAAGTGAATACACCAAAAGTGATTTGAACCCTAAAATCTAAGCTGGCATGATGTCTGACCAAGAACAGTCACTCCGAGACTCCGGAGAAAAACCCAGGGGGTTGGGGCCCCTTTGGATCTTTTAATCCAAAGTTAAAAATCTTCTTGCCAATTGATACCGTTTTTACTAGAAATCTAAATGATTTCCAAATTTTCTCAGATTTTTCAGCTTTTCCTTTAAAGTTAAAATATTATAGAATTTTTTCTTCCAATTGTCAATTTGTTGGTAAAATAAAATTTCTCAATAAATTTTTTTTTTGGTTTCTGGCCCAGAAAAATTGGTGGGAAAAACTGCCCTTAAATTTAAATTTAAATTAACACTGGGCAAACGACAAAACTCTTGCCAGCCCCTCGAAATAAAAAGGCTAAATTTAACAATTCTGTTCACTATTTTCAAATTGCACTGCGTTTCTTTTTATTTATTTAAAAAAATAATCACTTTTATGTGGTTTTCACCTTAAAAAACCTTGTAACTGAAAGTAAGTACAGACAAAAAATTTGGAAAAAATCGTTGTATTACAAAATTTTATGGGGGATAATTTTACCCAAAGCTTTGTTTTTGGTTATGAGATTGTGGGGGAAATTTAAAGGGGGGAATTTTTACCAAAACTTTTAAGCGTTCATTTCAAGACAAAAAAGGTAAATCAGTTTTTTTAAAGAAGGGTTACAAAACGCTTTAAAAATCTGTTTCCAAAAAAACTGGTAAATGCCAAAATTTGTCCCCCCCCCACCCGCCCACCAATTTTTTTAAAAAAAAATTTAGCCACTCCCTTTTCCTTCCTATTTTCAGTAATGACACCCAGAGGCACCTTCCTGCACTCCCCTTTCCTTCCATTTTTCAGTAATGACACCTAGGGCACCTCCTGCATCCTCCCTCCATTTTCAGTAATGACACCCAGGGCACCTCCTGCATCCTCCCTCTATTTTCAGTAATGACACCCAGGGCACCTCCTGCACTCCCTTTTTCTTCCATTTTCAGTAATGACACCCAGGGCACCTCCTGCATCCTCCCTCTATTTTCAGTAATGACACCCAGGGCACCTCCTGCACTCCCTTTTCCTTCCATTTTCAGTAATGACACCCAGGGCACCTCCTGCACTCCCTTTTCCTTCCATTTTCAGTAATGACACCCAGGGCACCTCCTGCATCCTCCCTCCATTTTCAGTAATGACACCCAGGGCACCTCCTGCACTCCCTTTTCCTTCCATTTTCAGTAATGACACCCAGGGCACCTCCTGCATCCTCCCTCCATTTTCAGTAATGACACATAGGGCACCTCCTGCACTCCTCCATTTTCAGTAATGACATTCAGGGCACCCTCCTTCCCCCCCCCCCCCTCCATTTTCAGTAATGACACCTAGGGCACCTCCTGCACCCCCCCCCCCTCCCCCCCTCCATTTTCAGTAATGTCACCCAGGGAACCTCCTGCACCCCTCCCACCTTTTTAGTAATGACACCCAGGGCATCTCCTGTACCCTCTTTTCCCTTCATTTTCCGTAATGACACCCAGGTAACCTCCTGCAGCCCCCCCTCTCATTTTCAGTATTGACACCCAAGGCACCTCATGCACTCTCCCCCATCTACCTTCACTAGTTGTGTGTGCAATACTGGCAAAAGAACTACATAAAACACATTGCCACTGGGATGCCAGATTTCCTTAGAATGCTTAAACCCTGGTTGGGATCCATGGAAAAGGGCATATATCACATCACTCACTGCTTGGGACAGTGTGTTAAAATAGTTATTCATTCATCAGAAGAAATGAAGACCAATTATTATGGAATGGTTTAAAGTAAGATGGTGCCTGAAGAGGCCTGTGCGGCCCTGGATAGTCTCGAGGCAGCATGGACAGCAGACACACTCAAGGAAGAGTTTGCCACCCTGAATTTTCTGGCTTGTCCCCACTGCTTTGCCAAATTGATCTACTGTAAATGTATTGTTAATGTGTTGTTGACTACACTAAAATGTCAAGTGGCCAGTTACATTCAGAATGCTGTGTACTTTTGCAGGTGCAAGGCCAATTTTCTTGATTGACCGTTTGCAGCAGTAATCATCTGTAATTCTAGTGTGGGACCTTTAGTGTTATTCACTTTGCATGCGCAAACTCTAAGATATTCACGAGTTTTCAAATGTGACATTGAAGCACATCTGATGTGATTTCCTCTGACACAGAAATGGAACAGTTAAGAGGCCACATATCTGCAGTGATGTTGGAACCTCGACAAACAGTTGAAAAACAAAATTGACCACTCTCAACAGATATAATAGTGTTTAGTTTAGGCTATCCTCTGAATAACGGTCCTAAATTATCGGGGCGGAAAATATACCCTAACAGGGCCTCAGTCACGTGCCAATTGTGCACTTCCGTCGTCTTAAATTGCGCGCTTCTGGCGACTTCCGCCACCGCCAAGAGTATCCCCCATGCCGCTCAGCGGCGTGGATTGGGACCAAACTAGATGGCTGGGACTCACAAGCAGCAGCTATCACATCTCCTGCAGCTTCCTTCATTTTATTTGCTCGTGAGTCTTAGCCATCTAGTTTAGCCCCAATCCACGCCTTGGCGGTGGCGGAAGTTGCCGGAAGTTCGCAATTCGGCGGTGGCGTTATTGTCCCCGAAAGTGCGCAATTAGCATGTGACTGAGGCCCTGTTAGAGAATATTTTCGCCTCGATAATTTAGGACCGTTATTCGGAGGATAGCCTTAGTTTACAGCTACAGTACAAAAATGCGCACTTTGTGTGAAGTCTTTGACTATTAGTTTTGCTTCCCTAGAGTCACTGCCTGCCTGAAAGTATCTCTTTCTCAAGTCAGTTATCCAGCCTTATGTGCTTTCATAGCCAGTGCATCTTCAGAGTCCTGTATCCATCTTCTTTGAGGTCAGCCTCTGCTTCATTTTCCAGAAACTGCACTCTCCATCACTATTCCCTGCAAGCCACTGCCGTGAACTGTTATCTCACCCAGACTGTGCAATTACATTCTGGTCTTTCTTCCTCTTACCAGTCTGCAGTGTAATAGAGCACATTAGCAACTATGAATCTCTTTTAACTACAGTGAAAAGGTGGAATATGTAATAAGATCTAACAGCCTCTCAAAAAAAAAAAAAAAATACTTCAGGGCTCAGTAGAGGTGAAGAAGCAGGCCAAGAAAGACCTGGATAAAGAACCTGACTGACTGGACAGGCCTTAGGCATGCAGCCAAGAAGTAAATCGCATCTGACCGTCAAAGATGGAGGAATCTAATCAGACAGCCAACAGCAACTAGTGACCTGCCGACACGCAGTGTTATAAGATAATGATGATGACGAATGTAATAAAGTCTTGATTGATTAATTCTCCCTTCTCTTTTTGTCTGCAAGATTTTAACTCTGTCTCTGTTTTTCCAAGCTGAGAGCTGAAGATGTGATGTCAGCCTATATAGTCAGAGCTAAAGAGGTTAATCTGGTGGTGAATGCAATCGTCGGTGAGCAGTATGACAGGGCACTGAAGCGAGCCCAGGAGTTGGATAGCATTTTAGATTCTCTGACCTCAGAAGAAATCTTGCAGAAATATTCAGAAGAGACAAAACCACTTCTTGGAGTGCCTCTCTCAGTCAAAGAAGCTTTCTTTTGGACAGGTCGGTTTGAGTAGTTGTCATTGATGTGTGTAAGTGTTTCTGATTGATTGATGAAAGTATTTCTGATTGGTTGGTAACTGTCTTACTGATTAGTTGGTGACAGTGTTTCTTAATGGTTTGTGAATGTTTCTAATTGGTTGGTAAAAGTGTTTCTGATTGGTTGGTGAAAGTCTTACTGATTAGTTGGTGACAGTGTTTCTTATTGGTTGGTGAAAGTGTTTCTGATTGGTTGGTGAAAGTCTTACTGATTAGTTGGTGACAGTGTTTTTAATTGGTTGGTGAAAGTGTTTCTGATTGGTTGGTGAAAGTCTTACCGATTAGTGACAGTGTTTCTGATTAGTTGATGAAAGTGTTTCTGATTGATTAATAAAAGTGTTTGAGACTGGTTGATAAAGGTGGTTGACATTGGTTGGAAAAGGTGTTTTTGATTGGTTGGTGTGAAAATGTTCGCTGTTGGTTAAAATAGTTTTAAAAAAAAAAAATAGTTTTAATTGGTTAGTTAAATTTATGTGATTAGTTAATTTGGATACTTTTGAATGAGTACACATTCATGTCTCACCACAAACTTTTGATAAATCAGTTTTCTTGATGATGTTCTTCTTTGCTGCTAAGACCACCCAGCTTCATTTATGTCAGCCTACTTTTGTCTCTTGTAATACTGATTTTTCACTGTGTTCTTTAGTGCCTCTTTGTCATCACATGACCAAACTCAACCCTGTTTATCTCTCTTTTTAGATATTGTATCTAATATTTTGAAACGAATGTATTGACTGTATTAGCTATTTGTGTACTGTAGTATTCTTCAGCATTCTGAGCTTTTGAGTTTCATTTGCTGCAGATATCGTCCACCTTCATTCATTACTTTGACTGACTCTTTAATATTTCAGTGTCGCTGTCCGTTTAAATTTGAGGCTTAGACATCTTGTTTCATGCTGAAATGAAGTTTTACAGATGTCAGGGTATTGGCTGAAGCTTCAGCCCCTAAACTGGAGGAAATGGGCGTCTCTCTTTGCCTGCTTTCTCTCCTTTGACCTGTCAGTGTAAATAGAATTATTGATTAATAACTCTGTTGTTAACTTCATTGTTTACTATATCCTTATTATTTTCTCTGATTAATATTCTGATTATATTTTCTGTTTGATTCACATCTGGATTATATTCTCTGTGTGATTAATATTTTGATTATATTATCTGTGTGATTAATATCTTGATTATATTCTCTGTTTGATTAATATCTTTATATTCTCTGTTTGATTAACATCTTGATTATATTCTCTCTTTGATTATCATCATGATTATATTTTCTGTTTGATTATTATCTTGATTATATTCTCTGTTTGATTAACATCTTGATTATATTCGCTGTTTGATTAACACCTTGATTATATACTCTGTTTGATTAACATCTTGATTATATCCTCTGTTTGATTACCATCTTGATTATATTCTCTGTTTGATAAACATCTTGATTATATTCTCTGTTTGATAAACATCTTGATTATATTCTCTGTTTGATAAACATCTTGATTATATTCTCTGTTTGATAAACATCTTGATTATATTCTCTGTTTGATAAACATCTTGATTATATTCTCTGTCTGATTAATACAGGCATGGCCAATACTTCAGGCATTCCCAGCCGGAAGCACCTGAGATCACCTCATGATGCTCCAGTTTTAGTTAATCTCCAGGAGGCTGGTGCCATTCCCTTTATCCAGACCAATGTCAGTGAGGCGTGTATGTGGTTCGAATCCTCCAACTATGTGTATGGCTGCACCAATAATGCCTATGATACCACTCGTATAGTGGGAGGCAGCTCAGGTAGATATAATTGTGACTGTATATGTGTCGGTTTATTAATTCAGTAAAAGCTTCGTTGACACAAAATTGCCAAAGGGATCTATTTATATTATTAGTCGCCGGTTAGTACATATTTTTTTATTAAAATGAACTTGATGTTTAGTCCCTTGGAATTCATTTAAGAGACAAAATTTAATATGTAAGATAAAAAAAAGCACATTTGCAGGACATCAGGAACCTCTTTTGGCAGTAGTAAAATGCCGCAGGCTAATTTGGTTTGGACACGTGGTGTAACATTATTCGATTGCAATATCTCTACTTTAAGGAATGTTAGGGGGTAGTCAAAGAAGAGGAGTGAAAAGAACAACCTGGAATGATCACATCAAGAAACGGACAGGACTAAATTATCATACACTTGTTCAGCAAGTGGAAGACAGAGAAAGTTGGTAGGTTTTATGTGCTAGTGCTTCCTTTGAGACACCTCGACTCTTATGAGTCAAGGGTTATATAGTGTTAATTCATGTTAAAAAGGTAAAGTCGGGAGATGTGAACCAGCGTCATTGCACACGGTTATAAACCATAAGTGCTCTGCCACCAGTACGGACAGCTGCTAAGAAACTGTCCGCCTGTGTTGCCTTCCGCACGCAACTCAGTAGCTACAGTGACGTTCCTCCGTTCACCTCAGAGTGTTAGTTCTGGTACTCATTTCCTTAAGGCTTGGTGAAACCCCGGGGACCACCCAGTTTCGAACACTGACCGTGGATGCAGCGAGTCGAAGCTGGATTTGAAAGCGAGCCCCCTATCGACTGCACTAACGCAGCTCCCGAATTCATGTTAACATGCTTGTATTGCATGCATTAAAAAAAAATTCTTCCTTTGCCTTTCATCCTCCATTGGTCTGTAAGAAGAGTGGGTGGGGTTTTATTGCCAAGATGAATGGACACTTTAAAAACAGAGATCCTCGTATATAGCGTCACAACATCTAATATGAGAATGGAGGTTATGGCAGTAATGGCAGCTTTCTTACAACTTGAGAACAGCACAGCCTGATATGTTGTGATTGTAATGTACTCACAGAGCAAGCTTCAGAAAAATTAAACTGGGATCTTACTCGTAGAGTGGCTTGCATCACTTGAAAACACTCAGATCATGAGCGTATCAATGGATTTTCTGTCCATTATATTCAGGTGTGTGGGATAATGAGCAGGCTGGTAGATTGACTACTGCCACTCCTCTGGGCGGTGAGCTACTTTATGATAAAGTGGACGTGGTGAAGCCTGTTCAGGATCCAGGGAGCATTGCAACAGAACCAACAGAGAATCCATTCATTGCCAGACTAATTCAGCAGGGGATGAGCAGAGTGTCTGGAAGATATATAACACTAAGGAAGAAACGTAGGCAGACTTTGAATCAGATTGTACCTCTGTGGGTCCCATGACCCCATTGTGGGGAAAACCAGAATAGACATTGCTGCCTCCCCAACAAGCATTTTATAAGAGTTTACTTATTGGAAGAGCAGCGTCCGTGGCTAAGGCGTTGCGAGTCCGACTCGTAATCCAGCGTACCACGAGCGAAACCCACTGTGGGCTGCGTGGATTTTTATCGTGGTATGGGACGTCGCAGGTCGACCCAGCCTCAAATGGGTACCAGGATGGCTGTCCTGGGGAAGCAAAGACGGCCGGCATAATGCTGACCACATTACCCACCGAGTGCCGTTTGGTCTGTAAAAATATGGGTGCTCTTCCCATTTTCCCAACACGCCTAAAGGCGGGAAAAGGGATCTTTACTTTTTTGTTACTTACTTATTGGAAGCTTCCTTCAAAGTTGGGTGTGCATTTGTCCGAGTGGCAAGGAACGCAAAACTGCACGCAAATAAGCCAGTAGAACGGATGTGCACTCAAAACTCAGACCCTGGCACAAAGCCAAAGTCCAGGTGGATGAAAAACCAGGGCTTTCCACCGGAGCTTACAGCCGGTGAACAAAGAAGAAGAATCAGGTTGCAGTTGCTACTGTTAGCTTGTCGACTCTTCACTGGCTACTGAGAAAGGAGACGGAGCATGTATGGGAATGTCCCGAGTGCAGGAATATTGATTGATTGATTGATTCATTCATTCATCCATCCGTCTTGAGATGGGATGTGGAGATGCTGAAACACATGTGATGATACACCCGGACCAGGGATCATACTGGTGAAGACCTGCTTCCACCTCTCCGTGGTCATCCTTGAAACTGGGTCTCCTTTGATGTTGGAGTGCATGTGTCTGATAGGTAAGGAACCAACAGTCTGCACACAAGCAAGCCAGATGTGTTAACTGAATGTGCACCCAGAAATAGGACCAGCCTGGAAGTGGATAAACAACCAGGACTTTCTGTCAGTGAACACACAGAAGAAGAAGATCTCCCACTGGAGCATGGGACCTCAACAAAATTTGCCTCTTGTGAACATAACACTTAAATTCTATACTATGGTTACTTCAGCATTATGTCCTTTTTTGTCTGTGTGTGTGTGTGTGTGTGTATATATGTGGCTTATGTGTATGTGTGTGTGCACATGTGTCTGTGTGCATATTATGTGTGCGTGCATATGTGTGTGCGCACATATATGTGTGCGCATGTGTGAGTATGTATGTGTGTGTGTGTGTGCGTGCGTATTTATGAATGTGTGCATATTTATGTATGTTTGTGCATATGAATGTCTGTGCACAATGTATGTGTGTGTGCATGTGTATGTATATGTATATGTATATTATATTTGTATGTATGTGTGTTTACACATGTGTGTGTGTGTGCCTATGTATGTGAATGTGTGTGTGTGTGTGCACATATGTATGTATGTATGTATTTATGTGTGTGTGTGTGTGTGTGTGTGTGTATGTATGTATGTATGTATATATGTGTGTGTGCGTCTGTCTGTCCTTGCGTGCGTGCGTGCGTGTTATGTATGTATGTACATATGTATGTTTGTGTGTGTTTTTTTTTTTTTTTGGCCTTGTCTCTTGTTATTTGCTGCTAAAGGCTTGTTGCTGAAACCTCCCTTGTGTGTTTATTGTAATTCTTTTTTGTAAAGCCAACATATATTTCTTGTTCCAGTGATTTTTTTTGTTGAAAGCACTTCTTATTATCAGGGATTTTTTAATTTGTTTATTTAGGTGGCGAAGGATGCATTCTGTCTACAGGAGCGTCTGTGATCGGTATTGGTTCGGATATAGGGGGAAGTATCCGAATGCCATGTTTCTTCAATGGAGTCTTTGGACACAAAGCAAGTTTTGGTGAGAGATTGTTTTTGATTTGTGTGTGCATATGTATACAGTTTTTGGTTTTACTTCATGTTGACAGACTCAGCCATTCTCAGCATTCGCCTGTTCGGTGTGTGATAAACCACACGGAAAGCACTGTCCTTGTCACTTACGTGACCGGAATTATTCCTATGGAAGAAGTGGGTTCTTTCCTTTTGACTGGTCTCAACACCCTTGAAGAATCTCTGAATTAATCAAGTAACAGAAAGTGTATTGATCGTCACTCATAGAAAGAAGTAGAAAGATAGAAGAACACAACTAGACTACATAAAAATCAAAAGCTATAGTTACTGTGCCGGGAATCGAACCTGTCACCTCCAGACGGCGTGTGCGCCTCGCCATGGATTCAAGTGCACTAAGAACATGGTCAACTAGGCACCCCCCAAAAAAGGTGTCTTATTGGCCATGTCTATCGTTTTATTGATTTATAGGACTGAAGAATCCCTGAACTGTGCTTGCAGACATTGAGGTATGAGCTTTGCCACTCTACCTCCAAGCTGTTTCTCCGTTCAACCAATGTAAGTCAACTGGCACTTACATGTAAATTGATGGATACCTGGGATTTGGTGTATCAAGACATGAGCTTTTTAACAGGAGGGGTTGGGATAGGAGTGGTCTTGTACCTCACTACTGGAACAGTGGCAAAGAATGTTTGGCCAGCAGTTTTTGTGCTTCATTTTATGTTGATGTAACTCTGTAATAACGCACCTGACGAGATACAACAAAAAATGCCTGGCAATAAATTGTGCAATGTATTGTTTGTGTCCGCATTATTTAAATTGACTGTTCAATTTTGTTCGTGCCTCATCATTGAATAATGTCTGCATTATTTAAATTCATTACGTGAAAATATTGTTTTGAATAAACAGTAAAGCCTTTTTTTTTCTTTTCCTAGGTGTGGTTGAAAATTCTGGCCAGTTTCCTATTGCCAGCCAGTCTGCCATGGTCCTTCTGAGCACAGGTCCGATGTGTCGATATGCCTCCGATCTCATCCCGGCCCTCAAGGTCATGGCTGGTCCAAATGGCATTTCTAAACTAAAGCTAGACACTGAAGTATGTGGCCAAATGGTTATGGATTTTATGTGTTTATGGCTACTCACTTTTGAACTTTTGTGTGTTCGTAGTGACTTGGTTTTGAACTTTTGGGTTTTTGTTGCTTCATGGTTTTGAACTTTTGTGTGTTTGTGGCTACATGTTTTAAACCATTGTGTGTTCATGTTTTTTGAAATTTTATGTGTTTGTGGCTACATGGTTTTGAACTTTTACGTGTTATGGATCCTGGTAGATTTTAAAATCCAAATGTTGCCTGGACAGCGCCATTAGGCTACTCTTTTCGATTTTCAACTGCCAAAGTATATTTTTTTTTACGTGCGCAACATTACACACGGGAGTCCGATCCTACTACCCCGAGACCAGGGGAAATTACTAGAAGCCCAAGTGAAAAAATTCTACCCTCCACTGGGGCTGGGACCTCCAGCACTCAAGGCGGACACCATGCTCTGAGACCACTCAGCCACATGCTTCTCAGTTGTAGTATCTTGCAGATAATTGTTTTGTGGTTCCCCCCCACCCCCCAACTCTCATCATATGTTGTGTACAGAAAATGGAGCGGAGTCCAATGATACCAGATGTAATGATATTAAAGAAAAAAATTACATCACACGAAAGGGCTGACCACCATCATCATCATGACCCCGACAGTAACATTTAGTCAATTTACAGAGGAATTGAACTCAGGTCAGCTGCATGAGAGCCCATATTCTAGCCACTCCGCCAGCTTTTCCTCCCTCAAGTATAGCAACGTCACAAATTTTAATGTCACTGAATATAACCTCATTATTGTTACACAATCTCCAGGTGGACATATCAAAACTGCGGGTGGTCTCAGTTCCTGACGACAGCGGGTCCCTGTTAGTCAGCAAGGTGGATCCCGAACTGAAAGCCATTCAACGGAAGGTATTTTATTTTCAAATGTTTTGTATAATCTTCCCATATTGGTTCTGGGGAAAAAGCTGCTGTTAGTTAACAAGTATGTCATAAAAGCTGACTAATTAAGGATTTCCTGACATCAGACGTGTTGGCTCAAAAGGCTCAGAATCACAGCCTAGCTGTAAACTACAACACAATGTGCTAACTGCCCTTTCAAGAATGAAAGCAGAAGAAGTTGAAGAAATGTTTTATAATGTGTGTATGTGTATTCAGAACCTGCAGTGAAATAATGATTGCATTGAGAAGCTTAAATCTGGTCACATCTCCATAAATACTTCTTCTTCTTCTTCGCGTTCACCAGCTGTAAACTCTGGTGTAAAGTTCTGGTTGTTCGTCCACTTCTGGACTGCAGTCCTGTTCCAGAACCTGAGTGTTGCGTGTGCATCAGTTTTACAGATCTGATTCAATTGAATGCAGACTGCTGGTTCCTTGCCTCTCAGGCAGATGCATTCCGACTTCAAAGGAAGCTCCCCAGTTAGTCGACTCTTACGACATGCTTTTGGGGAGGCAGTGGGTCTATTCTTGTTTTCCCCACAATAGGGCCCCGGAACCCACACGGGGGTCCATAAATACTGATATCTGGCCATGTCTGCAGCGACCTGTTCTTGACAAGTGTAGTTACATTTCATTGGTCCACTGTGCATGTTTTAGTGACTTGTCTAATGTGACTGAGTTTTTTTCTCCAGGATTCGCCTTGGAAATTCCTACGTGTTCATGGCCTTTTTTAAAAAAATTAAATTTATTACTAACCACCTGTGAAATGAGATGTTTGAGAATGGCTGCGAATAAAACCAGAAGAGATCGAGTGAGAAACGATGTGATTACAAGAACTATTGGAACCATACCCATCGTTAAATTTATTGAGAAGCAAAGAATGAAATGGTTTGGTCACCTAATGAGAATGGAACCAACGATGCCAGCATCAAGAGCATACAACATGAAAATCGAAACAACAAGAGGCAGGGGAAGACCAAGAAGAAGATGGATTGAAGGAGTCACGGACAACTTGAGACTTCATAACATCACGGCATATGAAGCGACTGAGCGCGCCCTGGCTGGGTTGCCGATCATCTGATAGACTGCGACGCCTAGCGGCACAAGCAGATTTTGACAAAAGAAGAAAGAAGAAATTTATTACGACCTGTGTTATATGACTTGTTTTTTTCTTAATGAAAATGTATACGGTTCATAACCCAACTTTTCTTTGTATTCCCGAGGTGAAAGGGTTAAATCCTGAATCTGCCTGATGTATGGCAGATAAATCCATGACTTCTTGTGCTTATAGTATTTTTAGAATCATTATAAACAAAGAGTTTCAGTGCTGTTTGAACTTGTTTTTTTTCAGGTTGCTGATTATCTGAAAACCAGAGGTGCCCAGGTTACAGAGCAATACATTAGGAAGTTCCGTGCCAGCTTGGACATGTGGGCAGGAAAGATGAACTTGTGTGATGATGGGCCATCATTTGCCAGTTTGATGTCCGGAGATGACAGTGGCCAGAGCCATGTCAACTGTTTTGCCGAATTTTTCAAGTGGTTGATGGGTCAGTCCACTCACACATTGCCTGCCCTTGCCCTCGGTATGTTTGATGATGTTGGGCCTAAATTGACGAAAAAGGCAGACATTAGAGCTGTCCAGATTTTAGATACTCTCCGGAAAGAATTGCTTCAGTTGCTAGGTGATGATTCTGTCTTGCTGTACCCCTCACATCCAAAAATCGCACCTTATCACAATCATCCAATATTTACTCCTTTCAACTTTGCATACACTGGTCTATTCAACGCTTTAGGTTTCCCGGTCACTCAGTGTCCACTTGGCTTGTCTAAAGAAGGATTACCCCTAGGTGTTCAAGTTGTTACCACCCCATATAATGACCATCTATGTCTAGCTGTAGCCAAAGAATTAGAAAAAGCATTTGGAGGATGGAAAAATCCAGGAACAAATTCCTAATCAATTGAGCAGACTTTTTCTTCTAGCACTGACAGATGTATATTTTGTTTCACATCTTAATTCTGATATAGTTTGTGCTGTGACTGAATATTCAGTAAAACCGAGAAATTCATTCTTGTATCAAAAATTGTACACCAAACAGGTGAATGGGAGGAGATCACACGGCAGGTCAGAAGAGTCCTTTATCCAAGAACTTTGCCAGTTGAATGCAAAGCGTATTTAAAATTTTTTTTTTAATCGTTACATAAAATCATTTGAAAGATTTCAGTGAGATTTTTCTCTTCAGGGAGAAGCTGGTTTCATGGACACCAATTGTGTGAGAATATCCAGTGTGTTGAATCGTAATATACAAAACATGTAATGATTAGTGGTTTTCCCTTGCATTCCACTGGGTTGTCTATGGTTTCTTCTTCTTTGTTTTCACCGGCTGTAAACTCTGGCAGAAAGTTCTGGTTGTTTGCTTCTGGACTTTTAGTCTTGTTCTAGAGCTTGAGTTCTGTGTACACATCTGGCTGGTTTGTTTGCTTCTGGACTTTAGTCTTGTTCTAGAACTTGAGTTCTGTGTACACATCTGGCTGGTTTGTTTGCTTCTGGACTTTAGTCTTGTTCTAGAACTTGAGTTCTGTGTACACATCTGGCTGTTTTGTTTGCTTCTGGACTTTAGTCTTGTTCTAGAACTTGAGTTCTGTGTACACATCTGGCTGTTTTGTTTGCTTCTGGACTTTAGTCTTGTTCTAGAACTTGAGTTCTGTGTACACATCTGGCTTATTTGTTTGCTTCTGGACTTTAGTCTTGTTCTAGAACTTGAGTTCTGTGTACACATCTGGCTTATTTGTTTGCTTCTGGACTTTAGTCTTGTTCTAGAACTTGAGTTCTGTGTACACATCTGGCTGGTTTGTTTGCTTCTGGACTTTAGTCTTGTTCTAGAACTTGAGTTCTGTGTACACATCTGGCTGTTTTGTTTGCTTCTGGACTTTAGTCTTGTTCTAGAGCTTGAGTTCTGTGTACACATCTGGCTTATTTGTAAACAGACGGTTGGTTCCTTGCCTCTCAGGTTCATGTACAGATTCTCCCAAGGAAGTCTGTGGTTTGATAGTGTTAGCTTTTGTCTCAACTGACAAACCAAACGGGAGGCAAGAGGTTGTGTCCCTTATCCACCAGTGGTAAGATCACAGTTTGGAGGTATTTTGTAGGGTTAGGTGCCACACACAACCTACACCTTGTTGATGACCAACACTTGTGTTGATTTACAACCACTTGTTCGATACTCAGAGCAAACCTAAAAATGTAGAGACTGCTCCACCATCCACCACTACACACTTCCACCATTCCACTATCCACCACTACACCCTTCACCACTACACCATCCACCACTACACACTTCCACCATTCCACTATCCACCACTACACCCTTCACCACTACACCATCCACCACTACACCATCCACCACTACACCATCCACCACTACACCATCCACCACTACACACTTCCACCATTCCACTATCCACCACTACACCATCCACCACTACACCCTCCACCACTACACCCTCCACCACTACACCCTTCACCACTACACCCTCCACCACTACACCATTCACCACTACACCCTCCACCACTACACCCTCCACCACTACACCATCTACCACTACACCATCCACCACTACACCATCCACCACTACACCATCCACCACTACACCCTCCACCACTACACCCTCCACCACTACACCATCCACCACTACACCCTCCACCACTACACCCTCCACCACTACACCATCCACCACTACACCATCCACCACTACACCATCCACCACTACACCCTTCACCACTACACCATCCACCACTACACCATCCACCACTACACTATCTACCACTACACCATCTACCACTACACCATCTACCACTACACCATCCACCACTACACCATCCACCACTACACCATCCACCACTACACCCTCCACCACTACACCATCCACCACTACACCATCCACCACTACACCCTCCACCACTACACCCTCCACCACTACACCATCCACCACTACACCATCCACCACTACACCCTCCACCACTACACCCTTCACCACTACACCATCCACCACTACACTCTCCACCACTACACCCTTCACCACTACACCATCCACCACTACACCCTCCACCACTGCACCATCCACCACTGCACCCTCCACCACTACACCCTCCACCACTACACCCTCCACCACTACACTATCCACCACTACACCATCCACCACTACACTATCCACCACTACACAATCTGCCACCTGGTGGATGTGTCCATTTGTGTGACAGGCTCCTACCCCAGTGAGAGCAGATGATCATGGGAGAGGATGAGCCGGAATGGCCCAGAAGGTTTTCAAGGAAACTGCATCAAAAGTTATTGGGAGATACAAATTTACATGCATGTGTTTCAACTGCATTGCAATCGGGTTTCCCCATACTTGCTCCATTCCTGTGCCAGTGAAAATCAAATGAAATGCCCCTCACTGTCCTATCTGAAAAACTGGTGGACAAACAATCAGTTGCTAGTCACGCCAAAGCCAACAGTTGCCACCAGAAGTGCAGTTTGTTGTTAATGGAAGTATTTGGGCATGATAAGTTAGCTATACTCATGTAGAATCAATACATAAGGTATATGGATAGTGAATGGGTTAGCTTCTGTCAGCATGTATCACATGATTGTTTAGAAAGTCATTTCATAATTTGTTACATAACAATTACATTACCTGCATGCTTGTGACTTTGCCCCCTCTGGGCTGTTACTTAAAGGTTGGACACCCTGTGATTACAAAATCTCAATTTTGGGAGGAAGACCAGCAGGACAAATCATGGATATCCTGTTCAACTTCCAAAGAAATTATAATTGGGGCATCTGTAACATCCAGGTGTCACTTGCAGTCTAGTGCGACAAGGACCAGTTTCATGTGGAATACATGCTTGCTGTTTATCCCCTCTGGGCTGCTACAGGAGAGGTTTGACACCTCAAGTCTCAAAAGTCTTTACTGCTGGTGATCAACCAACAGGACCTGAAGGTTTGACACCTCAAGACTAAAAAAAGTCTTCAGTGCTGGTGGCATACCAACAGACTTAGAGGTTTGAGACCTTAAGACTTAAAGTCTTCACAGGGCAAGCCCAGATAACTCCTGTTCAGCCTCCAATGTAGTTATAATTAGGACACCCATAAGGGCCACACCACAGTTTGGTAACCTGCAGTCTATAAGTGCCCCAGAAAAGATGCACGATTTCAAAGTGTTTACTTTAACTTGCTTGCATGTACTGTGACATGGATATCACTGCTATTTATAAAAAATTTTTGCTCTCTCATTTTTTTATAAATGATGCTTACATAGCTAGGTGTTTTTTTACATTTATTAGTTTCTTACATCTTAATTTGGTCAAGAAGTTGTCAGAAATATACTTTAGAATTGCTTTAATAATTAATTGACTAGATATACATATTTGCTAGCTGATTTTGTCAAAAGTGTATGTATATATACAAAAACACCTTTTGAATCAATTTAGTACAATAATTACTCTTATGTATCAGATTGTTGCTTTTGTTTCATTTTTCGTGCCTCACTAAAGGATGCTGGTTAAAGCACTTGGTGTGAATTGTATTTTAAAAGTTTGTGTGTGTTTTTTTTTGCACAATTGACCAAATATTGTCAGTTTTACCAGTAATTTTTACATGATCCTGTTGATGTAAAAGTAAAGTAAGTAAAGAACCCTTCTCCTCATCTTCAGGCGTATTAGGCATATTGTGCTAGACCATTATTTTTTAGGCCATTCGACGCTTGGTGGGTAATGTAGTCAGCAACCTGCTGGGCACCTTTATTTCCCAGGACTTTATCTGGTACCCATTTAAAGTTGGGTCGACCTGGGCGCCAAGGTCATTTTTGAAAAAAAAAAAAAAGCAACAACAGGAGGTCAGTTTTATTCAGATTTGAACCCATGGCATTCGGATCCACTGGCGAGCATCTAGCTGATACATCATTACGGCTCCCTGGATATGGGAGATTCTAAACCTTATGCCACCATCTCCTTAAAGTTTGAAAAGGAAATTGCTGGACATGTGGGAGGGTCATCTATTTGCTTCATGACACTGCATAACAGAATGATTAAACATTCAAATGAGCTTTATCTCTTTCTTATTCTTCTTTACTTCCTCTTTTACTGCTTCAGATATTGAGGGAGATGTAGTGTTCTTTTTTATACTTTTCTGGCCGCCTTGACCATAGACACATCATGCTGTAGAGTTTCTTTGATGTTATCTTTCCATGTTGTTCTTGGTCTACCTCCTGCTCTACGTCCTTCTTCCCTTTTTGTTGGCATCCCTCATATGGTATGACATCACAAGGCATTCTCTATAAGTTGGCAGACCATTTGATTTGCTGTCTTTGTACGTAATTTAGAATTGGTTCTGTGCTGACTTTATCTCCTATAACAGGGCTGTTCAACTAAGTTTGCTAGCGGGCCAAAATGTTGAACATGGAGATCGGCGCGGGCCGATTTAATACACTCAAAAGCTATTATGCCTAGGTCTTAGTCTATTATAAATGAAATAGTGTTGTAAACCATTATAATGTAAATTGTACTAGTCTTCTGTAATTATTAATTAATAATCACTTTGATGGATTTAATTTTTTTTCTTTTTAATAACTACATTTTACTATTTTGGCAACGATCGGCAGGCCACTTGCTAGGCCTTGGCGGGCCAGATATGGCCAGCGGGCCGCTAGTTGAATAGCCCTGTCCTATGATCTAATTCCTGATTTAATCTCTTCTTGTCTAATTTCCATGGTAACTAATTTTCTTTTCTAGTGTAATGTACTATCTCTTCACCTAACCATTGTTCATGTGTGAACTTAGAGAATTTTAAAATGGTTGAACATGTTTGCAGGGTCTGTACAAGGAGATAATAAAGAAACTTTGCCAACTGAAACAGAAAACTACAAACTTTGTCTTCTTTATGTTGACTAGGTGTCATC